TCTCCTCTCTTCTCTCTCTCTCTATTCTCGTTCTCTCTCATTCTATCTCTCCTTCTCTCTCTCTCGGTCTCTCTCTCTCTCTCTCTCTCTCTCTCTCTCTCTCTCTCTTCTCTTCTCTCTCTCTCTCTCTCTCTTCTCTCTCTCTCTCCTCTTCTCTCTCTCTCTCTCTCTGTATGTATATATATATATAATTATTTAATCTGTCTATATATATACTATATAATAGTAATTTCTATTAATAATTATCTATATAATTTATATATATAACACATTTTCATGAATATCTCTTTATAGGAGTATGCCTGTGAATATTTACAGAGTCCATGCATGAAAATTCAGTATATTTCAATAATGATTAAAACTAGTATTGAGATTAAACTATTATTTAGCATGTAGTTGTTGTTACCAATACACACTCGTCCATACCTGCTTAAGCAAATGTTATGCACTTCCTATCCCTGCTATGCACACACATCTTGATATACACATAATTATTTTTCACATATTCTTTCCTCACCAGAGCGGGAGTCGAAGTCGAAGATGAAACGCGCCGCAAACGAGATATTACGATCTTTGAGGCACGCTAAAGAAGAGATTTAGTCGATAAAAATCCGATCCAAAGTAAGCATGGAACCTGGCAGCCGAAGAGATGATATCCATGGATCGGGATATGTCTGTAGGCCGTTCTATATCCATGGAAAGAACTGCTAATAGAGCCTCAGGTAGGTTCTCTTTTGAAGTGCACATATTTTATTATTTAACTAATAGTGGTGTGAAGTACGCTGAAGAATTGTGGTTAGAGTGTCTCTTAATCCTTCTGCTTGAGGGGTTTTCTTGCTGATGATGATGTTAGTTCTTTGTGGCTTTTGTTAGGAAGCTGTTTGGTGTGTATTAGAGATTAGATTGTTTTGTTCAAATTTCTTTGGAACAGAGACTATGAAACTGATATTTTAGAGGATCATTACTTTTAAGAAGTTTTGATACAGAAACTTCTCTACTGTAATTTTTCTGACATGTATGTGGGATCTCTTGTCTTCCTGTGAAATAGTTTAGGTATCAGACTTTTTTCTATAAATGATATCTATTGGTTGTAGATACTGTGATATACATATACATAGTGTCAAATATGAAAACTAAGGATACCCTACAAATTCTGAAATTAGGAATGAAAAAATGAGTACAAGCAAATTAGAAGTATTACAGGGACTGTTTGTCTGATTGTATAGGAAGAGCTGTTTCTGTTTACTGATTTTCATATTCTTTTTGATAATACATACAGATGAAGCCTGTTATTTCAAAATGAATCTAAAGGACTCAGTCCACCTCTGAGCCCCCACCCCTGCCCTCCTCCCTATTAACTCCTCTCCCCCTCGCTCCTCCCCTCTATCATCCTCCTATAAGTTAAAAATCATTATTGTTCAATATTAAAAGATACTCCGCCGATCTACCATACATATTAATCATGAAGCAATTATTCAAAGTAAGAAGAGAACACTGAGATTAATGTAAAAGAATCTGCAACTAAGAACTATCATAATGAAAGCCCAGAGATAACGGCCTTTTTCTCCTCTCGACAACTCTTCTGAAAATAGGCTTACATGACTGGGTTAATAACGTTAGATAACTTGCATTTTTTTCGACTTTTTGGAGATTTTATTAGGTTACAAAGTGATTTTATTAGGTTTTTCAGCCACCCCTAACTATTTCCTCCCCACATTAACATGGACTATTAATTAATTAATATTAATTATTAATAAATTATTGTCCATTAATTTCTTATGACTCGTCATCATCATTATAGTCATTATCAAGTCCTCAAGGAATATAGATGAAGTTTGAATTGGACACCTACATTATGTGAGATGAAATATGCACCTCAAATTCCTACAGAATTACCTCTTTCATATATTCTATCTATATCCTATATATAGCTCTATTTTTCAGTTATATTATTCTGTTTTATCTGTCTATCTGTCTATCTATCTATCTATCTATACATACATACATACATACATACATACATACATACATACATACATACATACATATATACATACATACATACATACATACATATCTATATCTATATCTATATCTATATATATGGTATCAGAGCCAGTGAATTGATGAAAGTCAGATGATACCAGTGAAAGACATTTCTTAAGTGAGTAGGAAGAGAGTGAAGTAATGCACCATCATTTTTTTTCTTATTTAGAGCTCTACCAATATCTTTCGGTAATAATAATATTTTTGGAATTGTTTTCTGCACTTGCACTTTCATATACTAATATTTTGACAGGATTAATTGCATAAAAGAATTGAACACACTGATATGCTAAATGTATATATTTTGTAAAAGAGATGGAGCATAAATGATTTGTCATAATCCTCTGTTGTATTTATTGGATGACCGTATTTCATGTATAGGAAGAGGTTGCAGGGGAAGGCGCCCTCATCATCACATCCATAAGATTATTAGCAGAACATGTTGATTATGAGT